CTTGCCTCAAACTCCCTAAGTTTTACAACATATATTTACCACTTCAACATTGAAAGAGAAGATTCGATTGCTGAATGCACTATTCGGGTTTACATCCATGGGAGGCAAAATAGATCATTCTGTAGTCAATTCTGTCGGACCATATTCATTTCGAATTAGTGGAGAAAATTATCATCTAATCGGATCGCTTTTGCCACCTCTTGGAGAATTAAGTAGATTCATACAATTATACATTCATGATATTGACAATGAGTTGCAGAATCGTATGAATCTTCTGAATAGTCATGATGGCAATCCAATTGGGATTGATGCATCAATAATTGAAGGATTGCAAAATATGTTAGATGAAATAAATCCATATGTACAAGTTTTTCGAAGTGCAAGAGACATGCTTCGAAATCAAAATATTGTCAATATGCAAGTATAGATAATTAGTGCTCGAGGTGACAGACAATATATCCAACCAACTGCAAATGAAGTTGCTGCTTTGATTGTCGGTGAAGATACTGGTCATGTCACACACCGTGATATTGTGCTTGTCACTCGAGATGGAAATTTGAAAAGAATCAGTGAGACACATCCATCATATATGCCACTTCAATACCCTTTACTATTTTCATATGGAATAGACGGATGGCATTGTGCAATAAGATTTTCACCCTCTGCCGTTAGGAAGAGAGAATTTGTGTCGATGCGCGAATTCTATGCGTATCGTATATAATTTCGACAAAATGAAGGCCACAAACTTTTGAAAGGTGCCAAACTATTTCAACAATTCGTTGTTGATTGTTATGCAGCTATTGAACACTACAGATTAAATTTTATAAAAACCCATCAATCTATATTACATGCTGATATATATCAAGGTTTAGAAGATGTTGTACTTGCTGGAGGTACAGATGAATCAGTAGTTGGAAGGACAGGATGCGATGGCAATTTGTAGGACAATTGAAAATCCAGATCTTTTCATTACATTTACTTGCAATCCCAGTTGGCCAGAAATTAAACAAGAGTTGACAAGAATATCGGGACAGAAAGTTGAGGACAGACCAGATATTACGGTTCGATTTTTCGGATAAGACAAAAAAATTTGATGGATGTTTTAAAAAATACCCAATTATTTGGAAAAGGGCTTGCAGGTACAAATTTTACTTTATTTAAATTATTAATTTTTTTTCCAATCCCTATATTCTACTATACACTAAGATTACTTCCATAATGTGCAGACATCTCTGTCATTGAATTTCAAAAACGTGATTTACCACATACTCATATCACTCTAACATTAGCTCCGGATGATAAGCCCCTTACTCCAGAGCAAATTGATGATATCATTTGTGCTGAAATACCTGACAAAAATGCTGACACACTAGCTTATGATACGGTCATTAGGTGCATGTTACACGGACCCTGTGGTGATACTCATCCAAATGCTCCGTGTATGGTGAATGGAAAGTGCTCTAAACACTATCCAAAAAAATTTTGTAGTGAAACCACTATTGATGAAAATGAATTTGTATCATACAGACGTAGAGATGATTCAAATAAGAGGGTAACTATTAATGGTTTTACATTTGGCAACAGATGGGTTGTTTCTTATAATCGAGATTTGATTGTGATGTTTGATGGTCATATCAATGTGACCAAAGTTACACGTCCGGAAATCACTAAATATCTGTACAAGTACATGAGTAATGGGGGTTGGTAGAGTAAATGTTCAGATTGAGAATAACGTTGTACTTGCAAATGAAAGTTGTGATGACCCCACCTCCTCCTAGAGCGTACCCTAGGGTTTAGCGATTCGCCTGCCCAACTCTCGTCGGGACTCACTCACATTTAACTCAAGAAAAGAACTTACAACCATAGAAAAGAAATAAAACAACGATTTCAAACTTAACATATACATCAATACTCAAATCCAGTTACAAGACTTATACACACCCAAATATATCAAGGTGTTTACAATCCAGGTGCAACCAACTCTAGTCCAGCACTAGCGCGAGTACAATTGTAAAATCCAAAAAAACTAGACTACGCTAGCCTGTACAAGTCTCACACCTCGTTCGTATCCCTTATAAGGAAAACAAAACTAAAAGAATGAACTAAAAGCCAGTGAGGTTCCATACACATAATCGAGCAATTAAATCCAGGACATTAATCATTTAATAGAAAATAATCCAAAAATATTTAACATACAAAATCAATAATAACCCACTCATTAAAAGGATATATGCTCACGTGGAGCCATTCGTTCATTCGTTCGCCAACCATTTTTCTTATTCCTCCAACATTAGAAAACATTTGCAAATGAAAACTCTTCCAATGTTTTTGACATTCATTCATTCATTCATTTCATTTCCCGCCACTAGCCAATTCACTGGATAGTCTCCACCAATCTTCGTAGTCATACTCGAGTATACCAAACATTATCTCAGGGTCACCAATCGTCCGACCGAGTCTGCTTCTGACTCGAGCCGACTGGCAACAAAGAGCAAGGGCCAATTCAACTAAAAGTCTTACATTCATGCACAAGTAGCATTTAATCATTGAAAATTTCACATTTATTTAGGTCGAGTACGATAAAGTACACACTCGCCTACAAAAATTCATTTTAGCAATCATTGAAAATATTTAACATTTAATTAAACATTCACAATAATCCACATGGTCATTTGAAGCATAACCTACAAAAACACTCACCAATTTAAGTAAAATAACGTCAAAAGTTTCCTTCCAGATTATGCCCTTAATCACCGACAAACCCTAAGAATGACCAATCCTAAATTGAAGTGAGCAAAGGTAATTCAAAGTTTTCGAAAGAAAACTAGCACTTTTCATCTTAGTTGATATCAAATCTTGGTCAAAATAATTGATATATTAATATTGAAATGCATTCAAGGATACATATGTAACTTAAGATCCAACTAACCCTAAACTCAAACCTTACATCTCACTAATATTTATAAAAGCAAGTAATAGAAATTTGGGCAGCATGCCCTTTGTATTTTGCCACTTTTCAGCCATTTATGAGTTCATTTTTTTCCTCAACTCAGCCCAAATTCATACATAAGCAATCTTAACACAATAACCCTTCAACTACGCTTAATGTCATCCAAATACAAGGCAATTCTAGCAATGCAACCATAAAAATCAAAGTTGGAAACCAGTTTTGAAGACGAATGGCTAAGTAGCAGGTTTGACATCTTCCGGCGTTTTAATCACATTTGAAGCTACACTTATCGGATTGGGGTAAATTTTATGGAGTTTCAAAGCTAAGACATAGACCTACATTTCCTATGAAGATATCGACACCCAGTTTGTGCATTTTCAGGGTTAAAATGTGCAATATCAGAGAAAACAGAAAGCTGCCTGTGAAATAGGCTTTTGGCAGTCAGGGGTATTTTAGTTATTTCACATGATACAGTACTCAGATTGAGCTGAAAGTTTACAGCGATAGTTAACTCCATTCCCTACAACTTTTATGTTTTGATCTAAATCTGATTCGGCCTCTATCATGGACGAATATATAGGTCAAAAATAGGGCAAATTCATCATTAATATTGGAAATTTGATGTTTCAATGCTTAAAACTAACACCATGCCTTTAATCATTACGCCAAGTCCCTATCCAAACTCATAAACATCATATACAAGATAAACAACTTTAATCACAATTGAAAATTACAAACTAGCTGAAAATTATAAGCTAATAAGTAAGACCATGAAATCTTCCATAAAATTCATCACTATCAAGTCATGCATTGCTTCAATTGCAAAATAAGAAAGAAAAAGAGAGGTTTCTAGTATAATACCTCAAAAATCCCAAAATAAGTTGTGATACAAGAACTTTCTTCCTCTCAAAATTGCACCAAGCTCACCTCCAAGCTTCTCTAAAGATTAATCGGAGTGGATTCAAGTTTCCTTTACTTTTCTCAAGAATCAAGCAAGCTATCAAGATGAAATTTTTGGAAGTTTTTCTCTCTTTTCTTTCCCTAGAATTTTGGCCAAGGTGAAGGAAATGGAGAAAAAATGAAACCAAGAGAAAGATAAGAAGATAGGAAATTAATTTGGTCAAAGTTGGTTGGATTCTCGCACTTGTCAAGCCAAGATTTCCTTTCTTTGTTTTTTCTTTTCTTTCCTTTCCTTTGGTCAAAAATGGTGGCTTCTTTATAGGATATTTTAGGGTGATTAGCTGAAATAAAAGCAAGGTAATTAAGGTAATAAAATAGTGTTCAAGTGGTGTACTCACTCGGTAGCAAACGGTGCACGTCGGTTCGAGCTGTTTTTCCTTAACTCGCACATACTTGTGTTTTTACTTATGGTTCACTAGCTTATTATTATCACTTCTAATCGCACACTTTCCCTTACCTAATACTCATTCTTATCCACCAAATTTAGTACACACAGCTCACCAAGTAATCACACGGCCAAAATACGCGAAAACCCTAATTTACGCTAACTATAAAACTAAAGGTACAACCCTTGATTCTATGATTTATTGTAACTATTGAGGGAGTAAATGAGTAGTAAAGATATTATAAAATAATTTAATCAAAATAAAAGGATATTTTAAGAAAATAAGAAGAATTTTGTGAGTCCTCACAAAAGTGGTCATCGTCGTTACAGAAGCGTTGATGAGATTAAACAGTACTTAGATTGTCGATATTTATCGCCAATTGAGTCATGTTGGAAGATATTTGATTTCGAAATGCACAGACAGTATCCATCAGTGATTAGATTGCAGTATCATCTTCCTGATCATCAATTTATGATATTTAACGATGATAATCATCTTTATGACGTTCTTGATCGTGATCACATACATGACACAATGCTGACGAAATGGTTTGAAATAAATCAGAGTGATGTTTCAGCTAGAAACTTGATGTTTGTGGAGTTTTCCGAGTAAGTGGACTTGGAACCAAAATAAATGTCTATGAGAGTCCAGATTGCAAGGCTACCATATGCACATCCTCATTTGGTGAGCGATACTATTTGAGAATGTTGTTGCATAAAATTCGTGATGGACGGAGTTTTGAACATGTGAGAACTATTGATGGAGTTGTGCATCCAACATTCAAAGCTGCATGTGCAGCACTTGGTCTTCGAGATGATGATAATGAGTGGAATGAAGCTTTAGCTGAAGCATCTACATGGGCATCTGCCAAAAAATTACGAAGCATGTATTGTACAATACTTATGCATTCTGAAGTAACTAACCCTTCTGATATATGGTAGCGTCACTGGAAAAGTATGACAGATGATTTGCAATATCAGATCAGAAGGGATATGGGAAACTCTCAAATACGCATTGATGATGATGAGTTACAAAATTTGGAATTAGTTGAACTCGAACTCATTTTGAATAAAAATGTCGATCATTAGATTTTTCACCAATGCCATTGCCATCATTTGAAAATGCTCAGTTTTCCATGAATAGACTTATAAGAGAAGAGCTTGATTATGATTTTACATCAGAGCAGCAATTATTTGATAATTTATATGCTAGTTTGAATGAGGATCAATTGAAAGCATATGATCTTATTATGGAATCATACACACATAATCACGGAGGACTATTTTTTGTGTATGGAAGTGGGGATAGGTAAAACTTATTTATGGAGAACATTGATTGCTCGAGTTAGATCGCAAAGAAAAATTGTTCTTTCAGTTGCATCATCAGGCATTGCTACAATACTCTTACTGGGTGGAAGGACAGCGCATTCACATTTCAAAATTCCTATTAATTTGGATAAGTCATCAAGTTGTTCAATCAATAAAAATTTTGACTTAGCCACATTAATTCGAGAGACATCTTTGATAATTTGGGACGAAACTCCAATGACACATCGACATGGATTTGAAGCGGTGGATAGAACTTTAAAAGATATCTTAAAGTTGAGTGAAAATGATTCTGAGGATCGTATTTTGGGAGGAAAATTAGTTGTTTTGGGCTATGATTTTCGACAAACATTACCGATTGTTTCTAAAGGTAGGAGAGAAGCAACAGTATCAGCTACAATAAAAGAATCAACGATTTGGGATCACTGTAGAGTACTGCATCTTAAAATAAATATGTACTTAATGAATTTACGTCTTCTTGAAAATATGCGTCAGCAATTGTCAGATTTTGCAAATTGGTTGCTGTCTGTTGGTGAAGGAAAGGTTTCAGTAATTTCACTTGCTGAATTTGGGGAATCAAATTGGATTCGGATGCCGTCGTAATTTCTCATAAAAAATGACAGTCAATCTTTGATGCGGTTAATAGATTCTGTCTATCAAATTTGAGAAATTCATACAAAAATAGCACTTACCTCAAGGAATGTGCTATTTTGGCTCCAAAAAATGGTGATGTTGACAAGTTGAATGATAAGATGCATCAATACTTCTTAGTCAATCACGTGCCTATATGAGTGCTGATACTTTTTGCAATACTAAAGGTGACATTGTTGAAAATATGAATCTCTTGAAACGTTGCATTTTTGAATTTTCCTAGACTTTCAAATCATTTTTTGGACTTAAAGAAGGAACTCCTATAATTTTTTTGAAATCTCAATCATCAGAAGGTCTTTGCAATGGAACACGACTTGTCGTTACTAGAATAGGGGATAAAGTTCTCAAGGCAAAAGTCATAACAGGATCTAATATTAGAGATTTAGTACTCATACCTCATATCTCTTTAACACCACAGAGTGCAGGGACTCCTTTTCCAATTAAAAGGAGACAATTTCCTGTGAAAGTGGCATTTGCAATGACTATCAACAAAAGTCAGGGCCAAACATTGAAAAATGTTGGCGTTTACCTTCCTGAACCTGTGTTTGCACATGGTCAACTTTATGTTGCTCTGTCCCGTGCTACTTCGCCAGTTGGATTGAAAATACTCATTGTTAATAGAGATAATGATCCATGGATTACACAAAAAATATTGTGTATCGTGAGATTTTTGACTCCCTTTGATAAATTGTGGACATCGCTTTGTTTAAAAAAATAGTATATTTATTCATATTATATGTACTATATATGCTTCACACTTTGACATTTTTTTGTATTTCTTTGAATTTGTGTTACTTGCTGTCTCAACTACAGTGTTTAAATAATTAACCTTCATGCTATATTATAATAATTTACAGTATTTGATGTACCTTTACTCTATCTAGATCCTTGCGGATACGATGGAATGTAAAGGTTAGATTGTTTCGATTAATAGATACGACCATATATGGAGTGCTTCAACGTTCGGGATGTATCAAGATGCTTTTTGTAGATGATCAGGTAATAATTAAGAGCGTATGTTATTTATTATATTGAATATAGAATATTGAATATTTACTAATCTGTTGAAAACTATCATAAATTTGTCATGCAGGGACTTATAAGAGGCAGTAATAATAAAACATTTTCGTAGATCATCTCCATGAAGGCAAGGTATACTGGTTTCAAAATATATGTATATAATTCGACAGATCTTAAATACAGCTTGCACCACATCAGTACCAATTATCGTTTGGAAACGATACGAAGATAGTGAATATTTTAGATGATTGTCGAACCATACCGTTTCAAGTTTAATCTGGTCAAACTAAGAGATACAGAACAGCACATGGACAATGATTTGCAATTGATAGGTATTTCATTCATAATTAACCATACTTCTATTTAAGTTGTATATTTGAACTGGTATTACTTATACTTTTTGATCTTTTGCAGATGTAATTGGTTTAGTTGTATCTGTTGGTTCACACTATCAAACATCTATCAATGATAAAACTAAGTGTGACATACTTTTACTTGACAAAAGGTTAGTTAATAGATTCAATATCTTTAAAATATTTTATATTCTACAAATTTTGATTTATACTTACCAAAATTCTCTAAATGAAGTTTGACAGTAGTTCAGTTGACTTTATGTGATAAATTTGCAACTGATGATGGTGAACATTTGCGTCAAACTATTACAAAAATGTTTTGCTAGCCTGTGGTATTTGTGTGAGAAATTATAAAGGTAATTCAATTATTTTCACTTTATTTTATTTAATTTTTATAGTTTATCAATAAATATAGCACATTGTGCACGACCGTCACTTTATACTATTCAAGCAAGCAAATTGTATGTCAATTGCTACTTGAATTTTGCTCAATACCTACAAGTTGGTAAGTTTTACAAATACCAAAATATTAAATTATTAATAATATTTCATACCCTTATGAATATGTATTTGAAAATTTTGCAGGTTTGAGAATGATAAATATGCTCAGAAATTAGTGCATGGTTGCAGTCATGCAATTTTACAATGTCCCAAGCATTGTTGATATCAAATGCTAAGAGAATATGGATATCCGAATATGCAATTATACCTACGGTACAATTCCTCTCAATTAATTAAGTAATGAACGAGTATCTACGTGTAGTTTGAATTAATGTAATCTATACATTCTTTGGATGGTTTTAGATTAAATATTTTCGGATACTTGCTTACATTCAAAGTATCAACATAGACAATATGTTCTATGAGTTATGCAAAAATTGTGGACAATCATGTCAATCTCATTTTGACAAAAATGGTGTGTATCCATTGTAATGACGTAGTCGACACTATTGTCAGGTAATTATTTTCATATATTTTAAATTTTAATATAATTTTTTGCATCATATATCACAATTTCTTCTTAACAGATACAATGTTAACATAGAAGTTAGAGATTCCAGTGGTAACCTATACCTTCTCTTCAAGACAGGCATGCATGATTCATGTTTCGTTGTGATACTTCTTATCTTAGAAATTTAAAAACAAAGGTATACATTATTTATATGTATATATTTTTATACAATATTATTTACAAACTGTCTAAAACAAAAGATAATTTTGAATTATGTATGTTTTTAATTGTCAGGAAAATGGAGGTGCATTGTTTGACCACACATTAATTCATGCAAAAATCACATTCTCATTTATAGTACGAACTCCACAAAAATCAACAGAATTAATTAAACCCCCAATACTGGCGTTCGCTCAGAGTTGATTGGTGTGAAGAATGTTCACACCTTCGTAGAAGATTATCAAATCAAAGGCAAAATGTTTGTAAGTATTTTATTTATTTATCAAATTAAATATTCAATTATATTTAATTGGACCCTTATGTCGCTCAATTTATGATATAGATTTCTATTTTTTTTCAGATCCAACCTTCATCAAAGTGATAGTTTATAAATAATAGAGATGTTTTTATCATATATTGAACTATTGTTACAATATTTCATTTTTTTAAATATACTTTCATGTGCCCGTGATTATAATATTTTACTATTTTTAAATTCCTCCATAGATTGTAATTTTTTTCAAAAATGTAATCTGCTGTGCATAGCACGGTATTTATACTAGTTTTTTAAAATGCTTAACGCCATCTACCAATTGTTAAGTCAAATGGGATGACTGTTACTTCTGAACCTCAAGAGGTATTGGTAGTTTGGTCAAAATAGAGAGGTAAATGTAATTAATTCAATACTTGATTTTGTGTTGTGCTATAACAAAAATTTTTGGTTTAAAATTATTTTTCTTTTTTTGTTGCCACTTATATATATGAGTTTTCAGGCAATCATTATCCATAGAGACATCCAACGATAGGGATGGCAATTTCTGGCACGACACGACAATACGACTGGAACATGATCCGTAATTAATAGGTTTTAGCACGATGAATTTTAATGGATCATTAGTGGGTCAACTTGTTAGTGACATGAATGTAAGTGAGTTGGGTTTGGTCAACCAGCGGGTTGACACACTAACCCGATAAGGTGCTTATTTTATAATAATAATTAACACTATAGAAGCCATTTTGAGTATTTTGTAAAAACTAAGAACGATAAACTTGGCTTGAACATTTCAATTAGATGTTTTAAAAACTCATATTTTGTATCTTCTCATTTATGGAAATATCCTACCATGTTTCTAAAAGGTTAATTGGATCTCACTTTCTAGAGAGTTTTTGGAGAAAAATTACTTTAACACTTCTTATAGGATGTTATATATGTGAGATAAAGGGTGATTGAAATATGTATAGAAGGAATATTCACAAAAAGTGGAGAAATTTTTCAAAAATAGCAATCCAATAAGAAAGTTGACTTTGTAACTTATATTATGCTTGGGAAGCTTCATCATCTATCATTTTTTTAATGTTTTGAAAACTTTAAATTTTATGTTGACTATGTATTTCAAAAAATTTACAGTGAGTTTTAACAACAGTAACATTAGTCGATTACATGATCAAATGGGTTAAAATAAGTGATTAAAATGCTAGAGTGCTTCTTGCATAGCTCAATAGGTTGATTTGGCAAAATAATGCATCACATCAAAACTATTTTAATCGTATAGAGTATTTATAGGTTATGCAAGTTGGGTTGGATCAACCTGTTAACAAACAGGTCATGACACGACATGAAAGTCTAATTGGTTGGATTAGGGTTGAGATTTTCTAACATAAACACGATAATGACACGACACGATAAGTGTAGAGTATTTAACGAGTTACGCGAGTTCGTTTGAATCAACTCGTTAACAAATAGATCATGACATAGCACAAAATGAAAGTCTAATGGGTTGGGTTAGGGTTGAGATTTTTCTGAGATGAAAATGATAATGACAAAACACAACAAGTACACGACACGACCATTGCCACCCTTACACCATGACACATGGCGAAAAAAGGCCCAAGTAGTTTATTAATTCTATTGTTTACTTAATTCAATTCATCCATTACTTGCAAATTAAGACATATAATTTTATCTTTGGAATAATTTCGTAAACCTCTACGGAGGTTTCTAATAGAATCACTTGGCAGCAATTTTTAAATATCTCACTTGTCTCTCTTAATTTAAGTTTTTTGTAGCATTTGAAATCTATTTCAAAATATAATTTTAAAGAACTCATTTTGGGAGAGAGAATATAATTTTATTCTGAATTTACCCTTTTGTTATCTTACTTTTTAGTATAAAAACTTTTTAAACCAAGGACTGTAGCGGAATAGACCAAAGTTTTCAGTACATGGGGATTAAAAAAAAGCCAAATAAAAAAGGAGTGCTACTCCTTAACATATATAATAATTTAAAAACTTGAGTATATTAATGATAATTTAAAAACAAAATCCAAAAGCATGAAATTTTAATTCTAACAGGATAAAATATAGTGCGCTTTTAAAACACAAATATTTCAAAGTGTATTTGAAGACTTTCCAAGTTACAAAAGTATTATTTTCTTTATGTAAAGTGTATTGAGTTAATTTAAAGAGTTTTATAAATACTTCATTTTCTAAGTTTTCTAATTTTTTTTAATCCAAGTCAATAGCTTGCAAACTAGAATAATAAAAAAAATGCTAAAAATTATATATAAACTTGTTTGTGATGTTTCCAAAAAAGATTATTTTCATTACTATAAAATTTTCAAGTTATTTTTACAAGTATTGTAAATTATCTATAATTTTAAATATCTTAATATTTATTGTTCGAACTCGTGACATAAAACAATATTAAGACTCTTTCGACCCATTACCGACTTTTTAATTTCAATTAAAGAATCATATTGACCAAGTTGATAAAAATTGAGAATAAAATTAATGTGATATGACAATTAAGATTCCACAAGAAAAGGGTAAATATAGAATGAGATTATATTATCTATTCTAAAATGAGTTTTCTAATTATTATATATTTTGATGTGGGTTGCACAAGTTAGAAAAAAAAACTCCAAAATAAGGGAGGCAAGTGACATTTTTCAAAGTTTAAAGGTGCCAAGTGATATTGTTAGAAGCCTCAGGGAGGTTTCTGCAATTATCCCCTTATGTCACCGTGCTTGACTTTGACCTATACCGTAGGCGTAGCCGTCTTCTCCCCGAGTCTGCCTTTCATTCTTCTTTCCTCCTTCTCCTTTCCAAATTTCACCACCGCCCGCCGCCTTGCGTATGATATGAGAGCCTCCTTGTCTTCTTCGCCCTTTTATTTTTGTTCCTCCTTCTCTTGAACCTCTGCCACCCATCTACTGTTTGGTGAAGAGTCTGCAAAGAGAGCATTTTGGGTTGAAGATTGATTTGCTATTTCTGTCTTTCTGTGCAATTTCTCACAAATTGGACACGGGTAATTTTTTTTCTTTGAAAATCATGGTGAAAGCCTCCGTTACTCGGTAGACTTGGCCGCTCTTTTGAGTTCCGGAGTCGACTCAGTCCGAATAAAATGCGTCCACCAAATAATGGAGCAATACTTTTTCTCTGATTTTTTCCCCCTTTCATTGCAGAGTCTTATTCCTTTGGTGAATGTATTTCAGATATGGTTTCTGGGCTTAGGTGATTTTGGTGCGCATATGGGGACTCGAAATTTTTTATGGAACTCGGCTAAGAAGTTTTTCACCATTGGCCTCATAGGCCTTACGGTATCTGACCGGTATTTTAGCATTGTTCCTGTTCGAGGTTATTCAATGTCTCCTACTTTTAATCCCCAAATCAGCAGTTATACAGGATCCTTGACTGGTAACTTTCTTATCTTCTTTGTTGTCTTCTGAACAAGTATGCTAATGCACCAAGTTTTGCACTTATATGCTTAACTTTTAATGTTAATGATAAGTCTATTGTAGATGACCGTGTCCTTGTGGAGAAATTTTGCCTCGAAAAGTACAAGTTCTCATGTGGTGATGTGGTGGTCTTCTGGTAGGTTCCTTTTTGCTACTTCTGGATGAGAGAATTTCTCCCTCTTATTTCCTGCTGGTGTAAATATGTGCTTGAGCCACATGATTTTTGAGCTATGCTTAAGCTGATACATAAACTTAGAAAAGCAGTTTTACGTTGTGAATATGCACAAACTTGTTGAGTGACTTATAATGGTAATTGGTTAAAAGAATATTACTTTGAGGCTTAGTGGATAAACAAAACTATAGATGGAATGGAGAACATTGCATGGATACAAAGCATAATTTATTATAGATGATCTGTAGACCAAAAATTTCTTGGGACTCAATTTGCAGTTGAAAATCATGATTTGATGCCAAGCTTAGACTTGATAAATGAGTTGGCGGCCTAATTTTAGATGTTATGGTGCATTCTGTGTTTGCCTTTAAAAATTTAGCTTAGTGGAGTTAATCTCATGGAATGTTGTTGATAGTGATTTTTTTTAATCATGGCTTTGTGCAGCTCTCCTAGTAATCATAGGGAAATGCATATAAAGAGAATAACTGCCCTACCTGGTGACTGGATCAGTACTCCTCACTCTTACGATGCTATTGTGGTCCCGAAAGGGCATTGCTGGGTTGAGGGAGACAATTCAGTGTTTA